AGCTGGAGAAGCTGACTCAGATAAGGAAATATATGATATATTATGATCGATGATCTGATTGATGATGTGATATGAATGATAAGTGCGACACGTCGTCGTCTCTGCATACGGCAGTTTAAACTGTATTTCCTTTCTCCTGTAATATGACTTGATAGATTTAAACTCCGCACACTGAGCTCTGATCGGTCAGCAGGCGGTGCTTTCACTGAGTTGATCTCTTTTCTATAGACCCCGGAGGCGGGCAGCGTCAGGTAAAAAAAGTTATTTAGCCTTCCCAAACCTGAGCCTCACGCGCCGCCAGGCGCGCCGGATTCATTTTAGAAGTGGGGGGGGCAAAAAAGTGCGTGTGTATGGCCCAATCTCAAACCACGCCCTACACCCTACCCCTACAGTCCAGTGATTCTCAAATGGGGGTACGCGGACCCCTTGGGGTACGTAGGGGTACTGCAGGGGGTACGTGACATTTCAAATAAAAAAATTAAAAAAAGGTTAATTAAAAAAATAGTCTTAGTAAAATAAGTTAAATAGAAAACACCATTTTATATAAAACATTCCTAGAACCACCAAGGGGGTCCTCATATAAACATGTCAAATGTGTGTATTGTATTTTATAGTTTTTCACAATAACATATTATTTAAATTGAAAAATTCCTTGGGAAAATCTGTTTTACAAAAGTGTTATGTTATTTTTTTTCATGCATGAAGATGAAAATATCCTTAGTTTGTTGTAATGCATACCACGTAGGAGTTAATACATCACACACTGAGGGAACATCACTATATTGTAATTATTTGTATAGGCTTTTTCGATCAAAAATGTTCGGGATCGGTCAGGGGGTACTTGGCTGAGAAAGTGTTTCAAAGGGGGTACATTACTGAAAAAAGTTTGAGAAGCACTGATCTACACTGTACACTCCCCCTCCGTGACGGAGTGAACTCCGTGGAGTGACACATGAGGCTCCCTCCTGTCAGATGGAGGGAGTAAATACAGCAGCAAGCTTTGGGACGGCCTCCCCTCTCTCCGGCAGAAACAGGAAATGCCGTAACTGTATGGAACAACGGTTTCAAATCAGCATCTCTTTGACAACAAATGTCAATTAATA